AGCTCGCCTACAGGCCCGAGCTGAGTAGGTATACTCCTCCTTTAAGACAGGAGAATGAAGAAACACATTATTTTGAACACTTTGTATTGAAGTGGTCATTCATACACACTCAGAAACTGAGGAACCATCTCATTAAGGTTCTATATAGCATGCTTGACTCTAATCTAGACATGCTCAACCTCTAACCCATAGCACTGGGTAATCCAGTCTGAGGGGCTCCCCAAGAGCCAAGCACCAAATCTGGCTTGCAGACGGACCCCGTGCCACTTACCTGGCCCACAGGGCTGATAGGTTGAGCACCACTGCTCTCACCCATTTATGTAAACCCATGGTGTCCAACCTTTTGCCCCATGGCCAAGATTAATTATTCAGACTGAGTCTACAGGGCAGATACATTCCATGGACAGGACCTGGCACATGCTGGATTGCAGCCTGCCACCCCAGCCCTGTGCACACTGGAATGGGCTCTGCCACCCTGGCCCCAGCCTTTTGCATGCTAGATTGGGCCCACCGCCCTATCCCCAGGCCTGCGTGTTCCAGATCAGACCCTGCTGCTCTGCCCTATGCTGCTCCAGCCCCACAGATACCAGACTGGGCTCAGCTGCTCCAGCCCTACCCATGCCAGTGGAATCCTGGGTGCAGGGCCATGTCATCTGGCCTGCAGGGTTTAGACATTTAGTGGTGGGTGAGTGGTGGTTGTATTGCCCCAAACCAATACATTTTTGGACCCTGGGGGAACCCCACAGGCCAGATCACAGGACTCTAAGCCAGATATTTAGAAAGTTGAGGGTTGGGGGCTTGAGGTTGAGCACCCTGACATCAATCACAACAAGCAGAGGAATCAGTGACCACAGACAAAGATGTGGGTGTTGTCAACCCAGACAAGAAGAGAAATGCCAGTGCCAATCACAGGACAGCCCATATACTGAAAAATCTGAGTGTTAAAAGACAAGTCATACAGAGGAGATAAGAGATGAAACATCCACCAGAGAGCAAAGACATGGCTAGAAAGATAACGTTTAAAACAGAAGAGATGCTGTCTTGCTTTATATTAAAAGGTAATTGCTGAAATGTGTAAACTATGAATAAAAAGTTGTTACTGTTTTAATGTCAGTCTCAACTCCCCCTTACTGTTTTATTGTTGCTGCAGTTTAAGAAAACTGATATAAACCAAAGTGGATTGTGGAATGTCATTTTTTATTTTCATTTTATTTTTACCATTTTAATTTAGATCTTTTAAAAAAGGGTCTATAATTAAAACCAATACAAGGAAAATTTAAATAGCTACAACAGTCCTCTAAATGGAAAGAAAATCTGTTGGATTTGGAATATAGGGCCAATAGAAAAAACTAATCTGTCAGCACAACACACACATTAAATAATACTTGCTTGACTTAGGTAAGTCTTGCAGCAGGAAAGTCAGGTATGGGGACAGTAACTGTCCCTAGAAAAATTGCTATTTCATGACTTTTCCAACCAAATGTCAAATACTGTCCATGGTTGGTCAGACAATCCTAACTGTATGTTTGACAACACTAGCAAACACCAGAAAATCTCAACTTCAATCAAAAGTTCAAAATACCAATCACAACCTTACATTTTTCTTTTTATGGGAGGGGAGAAAGGTGCAAATCAAAACCAATCATACAGAGCAACTTTTTAAAAAGCTGTTATAGCCTGCTGTATAACCCCAAAGGCTAACAGTATGGTGAGACTGAATACCACTATTAACAAATTACATGTTGGAGAGGGATAGAAAAAGTTTAAAAGATTTCAATTTTCTCTCTCATTAAAACTGAACTGAGATGTTATTTTATTTCTACACAATACTGATGGCTTTAGAGGAAGAAATTGCGCAGTCCAAATTGTCTGCGTGAGAAATAAAAACCTTTCTAAATCTCAGTCAGTTTAGCTTATATCATGAAGCACAAGGACTTACTTCTCCAAAACTCTGGCTTGCTTGTTTTTAATCCTCATTATTTTAGTATTACTTATTCATATCATCTATATAAATGTCCAGTCCTTTTTAGAATCCTGCTGAGGGAGATTATATCCAAGTAACCACACAGAGCAAGTTTGTTTTCCTCTCGTCTCATTATTCCTGACTAAATATTACCTTTCAAGTAACCAAGCACTGTAGTTGACCCAGGGAAGGTGTGGCATTACTAATGGAAAGCTTAAGAAAGTGGTCTACAATGTGAGAATTTGTGTCATTGTAATAAAGCCATAAAATCCTTTGTTGCTTTCAGCCCACATTCAGCATAATTATGTGGTGAGCTAGCAACAGAAAGCAAAGGGGAAAAATAAAACGCACTACTTCTATTTAAGTAGCTGTACCTACTTGTATTTGAGGGTTCACTTTTGAGATGCTGAACCAGAGGGTTTAAGAGTTTTCCTCCTTTTAATTTATTTTTGCTGGTTCTTCGGCGGCGGCCACTTGGTGGAGCTGAGTGAAGAAACCCCACATTGGGTGGCAAGGGTTTTCCTAGCCGAGCATAGAGAGCCTCTATCTCATTTTTCTGCTGAGTCTGCAGTTCAGCTATTTCTTTCATGTGCCTGGTTTAAAGAAAAAAAGAACATTGTGCAAGCAGTGTGTTTGAGAAAAGTAAACAGAAGATCCCATAAGTTATACAACAAGCTCACTCATACAAAAGGCTGTACATTTTATAAAAATCTAGGGGTTTTAAAAAGTGTGAACACAATAATGCTTTATGCACATATATGAAGTGTCACTGCTCTACCCCTTGTTATTTTACTTTAAAAGTCTAAGGTTATGTAAACAGATTTTCAGAATACAAAATTGACACAATTGGTTTGCAGATGAATCTGGAATGAACACTTTAAATGGTATCCAGGATACATTACACCATTCTGTTTGAATGGGCCAGCTTACTAAACTAACCAGGTCACTCTATATAACTGTCCTACCCTCATCATTATTCCCTAAGATCCAAAAGGAACACAACTAGTTTAAATTCAAGAGCTGTAACCAAATTCAAATATTTTCAGAATTTCTGGCCTCCAATGAAGTGATGAAAAAAGGTGTAACTGCTTCTCTAGATATGTACTGGGAGACATTCCACAGGAAGGAAAGGAAAAGAAAGCGTTTAACACAGTGACCCTAGAACCTGAGCTGTCATTTAAAAAAAAAAATCCTGGAAAATTTACATCTTCAATATACTTCAACAGAAATATTATATAGAAAAGTGAATATGCAGCAAATTTATGTCTATAAAACCCCTTATATTTAAATTAAGTTTACAGCAAGACAGTGAGCTAGTTGTTCACTGATTTCAGGCTCATCACTTCAAATTTAGCCCCTATCATTAGTCAGGCAGGTGGTGATGGGGAAAGAGGGTGGTTCAGCATGATGTACTAGTCATACAATAGGAACAACTGGTTTAGACTACATGGAGATTCTAAATATACCCAAGAGCTCAGAGCATTGTTTTCTAGTTCAACATACTTCTCTCTCAAATTCTGCAATTCTTTCTTCATATCTGCATCTTCAAATTCTGAGTCATTGTCACTGCTCA